AATAATCGTTATAATGCCATAGATTGCCACCTCGAACTGAAATAGGAAAAATTTTTGACTTTCCTGATGGCAGTAAATATCACCTAGGTTGGGAACTTGGCAAAAGTAAAAATGATGTGCAGAACGACAAACCTTGTTCAGAATATCTATCGATGCAAGTAGCATTTGCATGGTTTTCCATATACGTTCATCAAAACGCGGCGAAGACAGTACCAACAGTATGTCCAAAAAACAGACGGCTTAAAACAAGTTAATTAAATTGTGATCTTTCATAGCTACAAAAAAAGGATGCAGCCATTCAACATCTATAAGATGCAAACATTCACAATAAGCATTAGCTATAAAATTTATTTGTGCCAAAAATTCTAACTTAGCTGGTCTTCTGAAAGTAGGAAATCCATAATGAAATTGTTCCTGGACATCGATTTTCCGGGCTGTTTTGGCAAAATTAATTTATTATCTGTAAAAAACTCAGCAACATTTCTAACAAACGGGTACCCATGCTGTAGCTCGCGGATTTGGTAATCTTGGCATGCAAAAATTTAGCATATTCGGGGAAATTCACGCAGAAACACGAAGCGTTCTGCAGTTTCATCAAGATATCTTTCCGCTGGAGCTCTGTCAATACAAACGGATATGATCTGCTTCTGCTGGAGATGCAGATATATTTCTGCGTAAAAACAAGGAATTTATTTATATTTTTCACACCCTTGCGAGCATCAAAACAGCACGCTCCATGAATGGGCATAATAACGCCCTTCCCCCCCTTCTTCCCTACCGCCTCGCCCGTCCACCCTTTCCTTCCTCTACTCTTCACTTCTGATTACCTAGAAAACGGATCTTTTGCTACACACTTTAGATAACGCTCCTTCAAAACAATCACAGTATTAGCTAAAAATGGTCTGCTACCAAAAATGACTGAAAAAGCTAATTTTCCTGCATTTTTCGAAAATTCATCGACAAAGTTTTGTGAGTTCACTTTTTTTGTTCTTGCTTGTAAATATGAATCTGAAATTAACCAAAATTCGGCAAAGTGAGTAGTACCGTCGCGATGCCGTAAATTGCAAATGATACAAGGCGCCTTTTCTGTAATTTTGTGTTGCCGCCATCCCAAGCCATTGGTTTGTATTTTTGCACACCGACAAGCGACTAAAAATGTTTCATATCAGTGTTTTATCTCCTGTTTTCTTTCTCTTCCACGGTAGTAAATTTCGTAAAAAAGTTAAAATAGCTATACTCATCGGTGTTGCCATGTGATCATACTTCCTTGCGGGATTGGATCATTAGCAGTATGAATGCTCGTTACTTGCCATTTTAAATCCGCACTTGTAATAGCGAATGTTTCCGGTCTTTCCTGCATGTGATGGGAGAGGGAGGTTTTCTGGGACAAAAGTGTTGCACTGTTTGGTACCGTGTGAAATCTCATCCTCCAGCATTCACGACCACCGTGAAAAAAAGATAAAATGCATATTTTGCATTGCGTAAATACGCAAAAACGCATGAGAAAAAGTAGAGGCGGTAAAAATCAAATTTAAAAAACGATGACTATTGTGCTTTTTATTTGCGGCATTTATCGACACGAATATGAATGTCACAACTTACCACAATCGAAATTGCAACGAGAAGAATCGTAAGCATGATAAATATATAATCATCGTAACTAGAATACTTGATCATTGCATTTGCAAAAAAATTCGTCAAAATTATTGGCATTGTAATGAATCCGGATGCGAAATGGACGGCAGCAAAATGTTTCGTTAAACTTCTGAAAAAGTATTTTCGGTGTTTTAACGCTGTCACAAGAGCAGTAGGGTTCATCTGCTTATAATAACAGCTATTGTCAAGTGATGGAAAACATCAGTATTGTCGGGCATGAAGCAAAAATTGTCCAGAAGTTAGAGAGACCTCGTCTAATGTCAAAAATCGCTCACTAGCACTGCAGCAAACTTTGAAGTTTTGATAAACTGCTATGTCTAATAGGCAACTCTTCCAGTTGCTTTGGTCAGCATTACTACGCTTGATGGTCAGCTCACTGATACGCACGGTGTCCATTTAAAAAGGTTTGGGGAGGAAAGTTTAATAAGTATAACAAGGAAGTTTATGCCTTTTAAACCATTCATATACGTCAAAAGTCAAAATCGCTCCCAATTTCCTCGCTGTTAACGGAACTGGTTCTGTGGATAGAAAATGTT